CAACGTCAGTGCTAGTGAAAAATTAAAATCGTCCCGGCTTCCTATTGGTGGAGCGACTTTCAAAACAACGCCCCCCCCCTCACCCAGACGCGCGCGTCCGGCGACTCGCTCTCTGCTGCTGCCACCACACGGCCACAATTATTTGTTGCCCCTTGTCTGTATTTACTCTATTTCTCTGTCTCTCTCGCCTATCAGTCGACCGGAGATGTTTCTCGGTTCACAGGAGTTCTGTTTCGGCAGCCTGGCGCCCTCCCTCGTGACAATGGCGTCAGGTCCTATTTTGAATCAACAACAGAAGGCGCTGGCACCGATCGGTCTGTCAATGGCGGACATCCATCTCGTGCCGGGAACCACGACCACGGTTGTCAACCCAGACAACGTCGACTCCGCCGGACAGGGTGTGGAATTACTGCACAACAGTTCCCCAGCCCTCTGCCTGGGCAACCTGCTCGGTTTTCAGGCTGTGCCACCGCTGGGCAGTTTTCTCACCCTGGCAGCAAAAGGATTCAAACTGAAGGTAGGCAGCTCAGTCAGATGATGGTTTAACGGCAAGTGCGTTGAATGTTTCAGTGTTAATGAAGAGGCCTGTTGTTAATTGTGACCATAAAAATGACGTGTTTCTTCATTTCTGTGTAAGACCGTTGGAAAAAGTCATGTGACGACCGATGGATCTCGAGATTTCCTTATATTGAACAATCTGTGCCAGTCGAGGTCTGCTCCCCAATTGCCCATCTAAACGTAGTAGGTCTCTAGCCTTACGTAATGCGCTATCTAAATAAAACTGATGCGCAAAGATCAATAATTTATTCGGAATCACGCCGCACACGTAAATGCAGTATGGTGAGTGCTGCACCAAAATGCAGCGATTCTCCAAAGACTGGTTATCACTCGCAAAACAACATTCAGTTGTATTGTAATGCTGATTATCGCGCAGTCTAATCCCAAGTCTTTTCAGTCACGCCGGGATGCCGGCTCTTGAATAAGCTTCTTTCTGACCGCTTACAGCATGTAGATTCTGAAAAAAATGGCTACTTTAAATAGTATGCATTGTCGTCATTGATTTTGACTGCCTTTATAGATTCAACTATATTTTACAGAAAATGTGCACAAAACCATGTTTTTACTCGTTCTGTTAGAAACTAAACCTTGTTTAAATGTAATACTCAGAAAGGGTTTTAAAAAAATTATAAAGTTACTGACTGACTGAATTTGAATCATCCGGATTTTCTTAGGGTTGGCAGAAAACCGGGAACAAATAAAAAGCAAGGTATTTTAAATTCGGACTGTGGAGTAAGTTAACAAAAATAGATTCTAGTTGCCCGCAAGTAGAATAAAAATGCAGTGAAACTGTGGATCTGCACCCAATTTGTAAGAGTTAAATGGCTCCTCTAGTCTAAGCAGACTTAGTACACGTGGATCAGTGGTTACACAGTTTAATCTCAGTATCGTGAAACATGCTGACAGAAATGAAGACAAGCAATTGGCGGCAACAAACACGCTGCAGATCTATTAATTCAGCTGCTGCCTTTTCCTGAATTTCTCCTTGTTGCAGGCAGAAGATATTTATAAATAATTTTACCAGACAAAATGTTTATAGATCTGCGCGGAAATCGACGCTACTATGTAATTCAGCGGTTTCATAAGCTTCTGGCTGTCGTAGGCTAGGTTTGCGTATGCGCGCGTGTTCTTCAATGAGAAGTTTTAAAAAACTGGATTTGCCGCACTTGACAATGATTTGTTTTTGCATGCAGATTCAATGGGCACAGTGTAAACAGGCGAGTGCTTTCTAGAGATGTAGAGGTTTCATCGATTAAAAAAATAGTATTGGCAAATCGGTGGGTGTTACTGCCCTAGGACGCCATAGTAACCTTTACCGCCAATCGCTTTTTAAAAGTCCCGAAATGTATCCATTGTTTGCGAACAATGTTATATCTTGCTGCCAACTGCCGACCTCAGAAAAAGCTATTTGAAATTTAAAAAATACGGTTAGCAACCTTTTATATGGTATTGTGTCCGCTAAGGCATTATGTAGAAACTGGACAGACAGAGAATTAATATTTTTCGCAATATCGTTATATTGATTCGCCCCCTCTGTTATGCATTTGCTATCTTATAAGGGAGCCTAAACAGACAAGTATGACGAAAATTACTTCAATATGGATAGAATAGCGAGTTCTTTCTTCTGCAACAGGACAATCATCGCTGCTGTTCAGCGAAGTGCAAAAACAGGTCACACGTCTAAATTTATACTTAACCTTGGAAAAAAGAAAAGTACGGAGATATCCAATAAGTAAAACCGAGGAATTAAAACCCTTCAAAATTTTAACTTATTCCCGAAAATTTTGTAATTGACATATTTTGTTGGGTACGGTCATATTCCTCGATGATAATGGTTCATATTTGGATGATCCTACAAATATACCCCGGCTGGCCATCTGCATTAGAAAGAATTCCAAAACCTGACCGTATGCATAAACGTTTTCAGGAAGTATCCTGTTTAACGACTCTAAGAAGCACATAAAAACACTAATGAACTATGGGTTATTCGACCCTATTTTAAGGAAGAACTGAAACGTATCGTGGTTTG